CTATTTGAAACCATCCATGCAGCTAAACCAGAACCACCAGAACCGGTTTCCAGAGCTCTAATATATCAAATGGCTATGCTGAAAAGACAGGACTTGGTTGCTAGCCAGCATAATCTTACTTTGTGTCAAAGGGGTCTGCTTAGCATGGATAGATAGACCTCGACCAGGTTTCTGCTTATTTGACTAACAAATATAATGAAAATACTTATGTCCACTATACACCATTAAAATAAAAGGAGTCAATGGAACAATATTCTTGCTTGGGTATTGTTGCCTGTTGGTAAGTTTGACTTGATCCACGTGATTGTAAAATCAAAATTTTACTATATATGGAATGTGGGTCCTTTTTGGGTTGGAATAATTTGAAAATTCAAGTCCTATCAGTTCACCTTAGGTAATTCGACTAGTGTTCCTGCATCAACGCCTTTTTAGTTATGTTTTCATTATGTTTATCATTCTATATTAATTGATCCTATTTAATCAGGTAGTAGATTAGACGTTTGACAATATGCAGTATATAAAGTGATATTTTGGTATTTTCATTCGTTTTTAGCTGGAGCCGACAATCTACGAGCAGTTAAGTGAGGAGCACGGCTGGCGGCGAGCTCAAAGACTTCGACTCCTTGTAGAGATATACCGATCCCCTTCAATCAAATTCTTTCTCCACTCAGCCTTCCACCTTGTTTTCCTCTTTCTATTCTCTGTTGTCCTCATGTATGAGTTACACTTCCACTTCACAACACAGGAGTACATTTCCCTCAGTTATGTGCTTGGCTACTCTGCAGAAGAGATACGCCAACTCTGTCTTCAGGCTCGATACGAGGGTATGAGTGGATATTTCAAGGACAAGTGGAATTGGCTTGATATACTTGCCATTCTTTTCACGCTTTGTGGCTTCATCATACGCTGCACAGCTCAGTGTCAGGAGCCCTCGCAATTCGCAGAGGCATTTGACAGGACAATGTACCTGGCACGCAATATTTACTTAATTGGCCTGCATCTCTTCTTCATTCGCACTTTGTTCATCACCTCAATCTCACCTAAAATCGGCCCAAGATTAAAGATGATGACGGATATGTTGAAAAAGGATCTTATACCACTACTCATTGTATTTGCCATCTTCATCACCACTTTCGGGGTTTGGATTGAGAGCCTTTTGCATCCAAACCGATTCTATATGACAAAACATCAGATACAGTCTGAATATTTGAATATCACGAGATCGTTTAACAAACAGCAATTTGAAGTCAGAGATTCTATAGGTAACCTTTTTAAACGAGCCTTTTACAGCATTTTTGAGGTGAGCACCATTCTTGATGAAGTAGAGAAATGTAGAGGCCGTTGTGGTCATAGAGATGGCAACGACATAGTCGCATTCTTTGTCCTTGTGCTCTACACTGGTATCGTGAACATCATCCTCATCAACCTTTTGATAGCCCTGTTCAGTAATACTGTCTCCCGTATTGACCAGAAGTCAGCCGCCCACTGGCTCGCCGAGAGGTACAAAATTATTGAGGAGTACAGCCAACGCTCCATTCTGCCATCACCGTTCAATTTAGTTTCCATTCTCTTTGAGTTGATCGCCTTCTGTATACGCCGTTGGTGTCGGTGCACTGCAAACAAGGTCTCCCACTCCGTCAGCAAATCCGTGGCCTCTTCCTCCTCCAATATGAAATACACCTCGCGCGCTCGGTCCAATAGTCTAAAAGTCCGTTCGAGTGACCTTGGTGTAAAAATGGAGTCCGGATCAGACAGCCAAAACTCGAATGAAGAGGTATTTGAGCTCATGAATCCGGCGAGGAATGATAACCATCAAGATATCAACTATTTGGTTTGCCGGGAGAAGAGGATTCGACGAACCAAACTCATGGATGAAACAATAAATTCACACTTGCTCAAGATGGAGACTGATATTTTTCTTAAATTTATTCTTATCCAAAGTTTCGCCTTGAAGGATGGTCGATATACTTTGGGACCATCTACTCAGACTATTGGACATGGAACAGGAAGCGGATATTTAGCTGGAATGCAACAATCTGGAGGCGGCGTCTTCCAATTTGGGGGCAGCTGTTATGCAAACGAAAGTAATGCTATTGGCAACATTGGCAGTTCAAATCCCTTGGGTATGGTCAGGGCGGAGAGATGGCATATGGACAAATCTACTGGGTCCCAGGCTCCTGATGAAACTGCTGATAGTGTGGTTGGCCTTCTCGAGTCTCGGGTAGGTAGCATTGAGACTCAGCTGATCGGTCTCGATGCCAAGCTCGACCAAATATTGAGCCAGCTAGCTGAAATGGCGCCCCGGCGCTACAGTTACAAAGCGGCTCATTCGACCGGATTTGCAGATGCCTTACTCGCATCGTATTCATCCTCTCCGAATCTGCCGCCTCGGATTCCAACCTCTCGAGAACTTATGATGACGGCCAAGAACGCTACAGAAGTTCATGTGCCCCCGGCTGTCACGATAGAGCATGCAGCTGAGGAGCATGACTCTACTTCGGCCTATACAAAACCCTCATCACATTAATATAAATTCGTCCCGGTGCATAGAGCAAAATAGTAAATAAACAAAATAAAAGCGTGCTCATCAGAGGCTATTACTATAATATGGTTGTCTGGGTATACAAAAGAGCATGTGATGACAGGGAAAGTGATTGTCCTCTGAATTTCCACTGCCCTCCGCGCCGTGCCCAAGTATCGGCGCGACTGAAACCACACTTAGACATCCCAATTGGTTTGCTCTCGTGAAGATTGCATCGCTTTATCCATGTACTTTTTAGATCTTTCCATTCAAAACTATTTGAGCAGGCTGAAAATATGGCATATTATTCTCACTTTTCGTTTATTAAGCCTTTCTCTCGAGAATGCCCAATAACCATGGGCCCATGGTAAAATAAATTGAATTTAGCCCCATAGATGGTAATCCGACTGACACGCAAACCACGCTTTGCCAGTCAAGTGGAATAAGTGGGGAAATTCCTTGATCCAAAAGTTCACTTCAACAGCAATCTTGTTAAGATCAATTATTTTAATCCTTGCATAGCTTGTTTTTATGCGTGCCCCGTTATTAGTGAGACATAGACATCAATCTTTTGCATCAGAAATAAATCATATTTCGAAAGTCCAGTCCCTCTAGAAGCGGTTGTTTGAAGTGCCTTACAGGCTCCAGTTCAGACTTTCTATCAAAAGGAGGCCTAGTCTAACCCTGATAACTATCCTGGCCATTTCCCAAAAGCTATATCATCTTAGCTCCCGGGAGTACTAACAGCTGCTCATTTGATCCCTTCTCATCGGCCCCCTTCGAGATTGCCGTACGGATCCTGACCCATGCCAAGCACAATCTGCTCGAGGAAACTTGTTTTTTTTTCAGGCCAAATGTTAAAGCCTATTTGTATGTCATGCATGTATTTAATACATTCATATTCGACAATAAAAAAGTCCCCACAAATCGTTTTACTTTTGCCGTCACTTATTTGTGATGTCAAAATCTCTCAATCGTGCCTTACCATAGTTACCATTTATCAATTGGACTGTTTTTCATAGTCTCAAAGGCAGTGTAAATTACGCTCGACAAAGGTAGTTTTATTTTGAACCATAAATGCAGGTGCTGCTTGGATTTGATAGACAAATATTGTGCGCATGAAGACAGCACTGGCAAGAAGCTGCTCTGCTTTAATAGTAAAAATGACAGGGGAATATCATGCACTAGCCAAAGTTTTCAGAAGTTGAGAGGAATTTGGGCTGATCGCTGGACATGACAGAAACTCTTATATATTGCCATTTGTATATGCGAAGTAGGAAGTATAAAAAGATATTAAAGGACACGTGAGCCGAGAAGGAAGTGGGCGGGCATAAGGCCGGCCTGAAGTAAAACACACCGTTATTTTACAACTACCTCAGGGTATTACGGCTCTCACTGGCATTAAATTCATACTAGGGGCGGATTAACTATAGGCCAAGCCTATTTGGACTAACCTACGATTGGCGGCGCGTGCAAGTGGAATCTTAGACACTAAAGTAGTTGTTTGAGATCTTATCCCCGCCTAAAAATTTCAACAACAGTAGCAAGTATATTTCTTACCAATATGGCCCTAAGCTCACTGGGTATTAAGTTCTTATGGATCGTAAATAGATGACACTGCAAACGAGAAAAACTAAGAAACATAGGGCAATATTCACCCTGCCCATATGACATAGATATTTGGTTCAACCGCGTCCTAGCAAGATTTCTGATAATATACCCATACTTAGTCATTTGCCACGATTGTGCCCTCTTCAATCGTCAAATAGTTGACCACAAATTACCAAATGCTTTGCTGGCGTCATCAATGAGAAGCGCCTTTCTGAGCACCAAACCCAAACTACTAAATCATAAATCAACTCCTTCAAATATTTTCTACCGAACAGTGATATTTCTTGCTACATTCTGATGAGTTGGAGCTGGGTGCTAGGGATGGATCTGCTCAATTAGAATATGGATAAAAAGTCTACGCCTGTCCAGTTAATGCCCCGATGCTAGAAGAACACAAAAAATAGCAAAGGATGTATTGTCTTTCTGAAAAGCGGACTAGCATTCGAAAGAGTTAAAAAATTAAAATAAAGGAGGGAGATCGCAACCAATTCCAGGACCACACAAGCGCAGTCTTGAGATCTATATGAGAATGTTTGAAGAAACAAAAACAAAGCTAAAGTTATTGATCAATTATATTTTATTTACACAAATGATCCGCAAAGAATATAAAAGGAACCTATAGGGCCGTTAGTGCCGTCGCTTTTCCCGAATGTAGCTTTTGAAACGTTGGAGAACCAGAGAGTCAGTAGCCTTTTCTGATTGCATACGCTGTCGCTCAGCTAAAAGATGGTAAAAATACAGGAATGGCATGGACATTGATGTAAAAAACAAAAGAAATCTAATATTCATAATAATTCCAGGGGAACTAATTTATATCTAGGATGTAGATACGAAGACCAAGATGATGTTGCCTCTATTCTGGTCGCAGTCTCCTTTTGATGTATGGTAGTTGTTTGATCTTGTTTTTGCAACGTGGTCATATTAGCGGGAAAGCCTTAGCCCGAATCCATAGTACTCATGGACTTGGTACATTCCCAGACGTTTCGCCGGCATCGTCAATGAATCTTGCCATTCTCTGCACCAAACTACCAGTCGGTAAAGAGACAAGTGAATTCAATCCAATCAAGACCAACTTCCTGTCGAAAAGGCTATGCTATCACTCCTTCTGTCCTGGCCCCTCTACCCATTTCCTACCCTCTTGTCTCGCCATTATCCTATCACAGCTTCTGGCATGTTTATATTCCACCAGAGATGTTCCCTTTTAGCGAATTTACCTTGTCGCCATCAAACCTGCGGTTTGCCTTGCTCCCATCCCTTTCGAGTGGCTGATCCGACTCGAGCCTCCTGTCCATATCTGCCTCATGGTCCCAAATCTTATCTTTCTAGTTGACCGATTTCACTCGGTTCCAGCCCCAGTATACTTTTAAACAAGGTGCTATTTCTCAAGCCTTCAGTAACACATACAGTAGCCTCACCTGCAGAGTGCCTAGGCTATGATTCCCATGCTTGTGGATATTAGGCATTACCTTCAGATATCATCTAGATTAAACCCGTGTACCCTGAGCAAACTGTTGACAATTCTCTTTAGTCGTCTGGATTATTAGTCAATTAGGTCATAATGCCCAAGTTATGTGACCCAATCCTTCTCTAGTCGTGTGAAACGTCGGGCCCCCAAAGTTGCAGTTGTTTATTCGAGCTGGCTACGCTCACTGAGAACGTCTTCGTTTCATTTCCGAAACTTCCTCACTCTTTTCTCCCTTGCGATCCCTCTTCCTCCGATTTACGATAAATCCTTGATCTAGACGTCTCCCTTTTGCTTGTTTTGTTCCCTCTGTTTTCTCCGAGCTTGGTTAGGAAATGGATAGAGTTATCACTAATTCGCCAAAGGGGCACATCTCTTATGGAATATAAGCAATTCAGTTGTAATAGGATGAGGACGAGGCAAGAGGGTAGGAAATGAATAGGGGAG